TCAGCACTCCGTTTAAGAGTCAGTTGAAATTATCACCTCATTCACAACTAGAAGATGAAACCTTTCGTCGGTCGCTTCATTAAAACGCGTAATCTTCAGGACAGATATAGCGAAGCTGTCAGCAAGTGCGAAAACTAAATTATACGATAGCGATACAAAAGAATGGAAGAAGGGAACGACAATAATTTCTATCGTGCCATTTTGTGGATCGTCGTTCTCCGGTGTTTGAGTAATAATAACATGTGATATGAAAATAACAGCTGTCCGTAAACCGGATCGAGCTCACCTGTGACCGTGGCTCGGGTGATAAGATCTAGAATATGCCTCGGAGACCAAACCAGGCGAGGACCAATAAACTGCAAGCTAAAATGTTACCTTAACGCACTTAATGTTGTAGTTTTATTACGTTTTTTTTTTTTTTTTGTCGTATGCTCTACAGTATAAATACTAAATTTTAACGATGGGGTCACCTCTACCTGTCACGTTTATCTGATCCCGACGACAGGCGCCATCTGATTTTTGGACTGGAAACCGTGCGGGTGACAAAATTGACGGAGCCAACGCTAATCGCACCTAATGAGATCGAGTTAAGATCCACATTCGAGCGGTCGAGCTAGACAGATGCCTCATTATCTATATTGGCGATCGAACCCAATACGTCGTAGATAGCGTTAATTAGTAAATATTGTTTTTCAATGTTCGAGTTATTATCGTTCGCGTTCATCGGTTAAGTAACTTCGTAAGATCGTGATCGGTCAGTTTATGTTTCGTTTTGAATAACTGATTTAATAATTTATAAGCGGATGTTTTTTTTATTTTTAATATCGAGCAAGTAAAGATTGTTATTTAGTAAAATATGATTTATGGCAGATCACAGTGAGGTCTTTAAATTATTATAAAAACTTTTACTCTAAATCAATCAAACTCAATCATATATAGTTTATCACTAGTAAAAAAGATATATGTAGTGTTTCGACTAAAAAAAAAAAAAATTTTGTGTCACTAAATAGTGGATCAACACTAAAACAAATTTGTAATAAAAAAAAAAACAAATTTGACATGAAAGAACAGAACAGTCACGCTCAGCCAAATTTAATGAACACTATCAAATCCATCACAATTTATGCACGAGTGAAACATAATATATAAAATACCTGATGTAAATAAAATGTGACTTTTGCTTTTAAACATTAAGCTGCTGTCTAATACGAAAAATATCGTATTCGGGAATGCCAACATAACTACATAATCTCAGTGGAGAAGAATATGAATGGTAAGTAATATTATAGACTGAATAAAATTCAAAAAGTAAAATTGTTCTTAAAAAAAAAGCAATAAAATATATCATTACAAAATGCGATCGAAAAAATCTTAAAACTTTTAATGACAACGATATATTAATTACGAATTAAATTGAAATATTATTTATTTAATTAAACCGGTTTCACTTTTAAATACACTATTAGACCGATGAATACAATAAATACTCTCAAAATTAATTCCATCTCAGACGCACCTCCAAAACTCATACGCGAATTTCAACTTTATTTTCAATGTATTTAAGCGCACAGATTTCGAAACATGACTAGCCATCGCGTTAACATTAACAGTTCTAATTATAACAAACAAATACGATGTATTTATAAAAAAAAAAAACGAATTACATCTTGCAAAGAAATCAAGAAATATACTCTATTCCATAAAAATGGAAGAAAGAATTACAATCACATCACAAACAAATCAAGATTGATAGAAACATTTTTCAACAAAAAAAAACAGAGTTGTTTTTGAATTGCTAACAGTACTCATATGATATTTATAAAGTAGCGAGAACACACATCACAAGAAAAATACTTATTATGAAATCATAATATGTGACTGCTGAATTAAAATGTACCTTAATGAAGAAGTCATTCTTTATCAAGGTAACAATCAAAACAACGTAGGTAATTACAATTCGAATCGTACTCTTTGAATTATTTTTTACCAGACTCTCAGAATTTGTTTCATTATAATGTAGAAGTGTTACTGAACTCCGACTTTGATCAATTAGTTATACCTATGTTGCAAACTGATATGTTAATCGCTTTCAACAAATAATTTACTATATGTCATTGATGTAAAAAAAACTGTTTTTTTATGCTGACAACACTGCTTCGTGCATCAAATAAAAAAGGTTTAAATAGCTGCGTTTAAGAGAGACGTAGCATTATCATTTTAAAACGACGTCAGTACCTTTTTGTTCTGATTAGCACATGAAAAGAGTTGTTGCTACACTAATTCCAAAAACGTACTAATTGAAATTAAGTGTCCGAAGCTGTTGTATGTTTGGGCTAGATTCGAAAGGCGGACTCAGTGGCGGGCTCCAAAAGACTCAACAACAGGTGGACCGTCAGGTAATGTACCCGTACAGGAAAGAAGGTCCGTAATTAATGACATGTACTTGTATTGTTGGGATAGATTAAGAGCGATCGTTATGTTCGTCGTGTAATTATTATTCCAGGAGTAATTGATAGGTTCGCAGATAATTTAAAAAAAATTTAAATTAGGTATTAATGACGTTCAACCACTTTTTGCCTTTTTATAATTTTAGCTAAAGGTGCATTTTTAATTGAGTGCTGCTAGTATATAGATCAACAAACTACTTCACCGATACACTTAGGTCAATTAATTGCTTCATTGAATGTATGATTCGTTACATACTTCTATGATCAACAATCCCAATATACTGCACTTAACTGCTTCGTTGAATATATCTATCATTTGTTCAATACTTATATCGTGTATCGTCAATAATAGAAAACAATATACGGATATAAGACTATTCTAACAATGAATACACAGATACATTGAAAACAGCAGTATTTTTAATTGCTAGTAACAATTATTCCTCGGAATTTTGGCTTGCTCATGTCTTTGTTGAAACATTTTCTCACAGCTCAGGATCGATTCACTCGACGCATTTCAATGATGTCTCTCTCCATCGATATCTGCCATTTAGTTAATGGATAGTAGTGCTGAGTTGTATCGTTAGATGTTCCGATCCACACATCGACTGACGCTTCGCCCATTAGGTCTCTCTTACCCTAGATTTTGCTGTAAACATGAAATTAGACGTCGGCAGCCAATCCGACGCCACAACTTAAAAGGCTTGTAACTTGATGATTCATTAGTAATAGGATATAGTGGACACATTTCACGAAATCAGAGGTCAAAAGACCTAAATACTTGTCACTATTTTTAGGTAAATATTTTTACCGTTTCAGTAAGCTTCTTCATTTGAATAATTGCATGTTTGCCAAACATAATGGAATCTGCCGTGTCTAGAATTGTTGGAGCGCTGTTAATTTTTTGTTTTAATGCCAAACCGTAATATGTTTATGGAGTACCTATGTAAGCTTAATAATGAAGATACTAATATACGTTTTATACATTTTCTACTTTAGTAATTCTTTTTTTTATTATTATTTGGAACACATTCGTGCCACCCATGTCAAATTGTGGTCCAAACGTCCGTTCTCCTAAAATCATTGTCATGTAATGTAAATTCTGGTTTATGATGCTTATTAAAGTGGAACCAATAAAAAAGTTGTTTACTACTACGCGTGTCATTATTCGTTCTCTCTCATACTCATATTAGCGTTTAATGAATACATTTTCAATTCGCTGTAGGACGCGTCAACTATATTAATGGCTTTTAGTTTTTGCCTTCATAACACACTGAACATCCGACATGTATTTTTGTAATACCCAAGACATTCGTTGCAAGTCTTATTAACTAAAATTAATCATGATTAATTTACGTTCTCTGAATATTTATTGGTTTTTGTGCGAAAAAAATATAAAGAAAGCAATTCAGTTATTATTATTAAATAACATCGTCATTAAATATCCTTAGTAATATGGCCGACGGCAAATTATAAACGTGCACTGCTATACGCGTTTTTAATTATTGTTTATGAACGAAATTATTATATGATACCTGTAATGTTCTGTGCTGATGTATAACATGTAGGTACCCAATAAATAAAATAAAATAAAATACAATTAATCTTTGAATATGATCGACGCTAAAAACTAAAATTCATAAGCATTTAGTGTAAATTAAGACACAAAACTAGCTATTAGTTGCTGTGAATGTTGTCAAACGTGTACCTTCATTAATCTTTGTTACAACTTGCATAAATAAGTTTCTTTGTAATTATTAATGTACCATTTATAAAAAACAAACTTGTGGATGTATCAAAATTACGTTTCATACCATAAAAATTTATATACGAATTGTCAATTTATTAATGTATAATGTTTTAAAAGACTTTTTTTTTAATATTTGCATTACGAAGAATTAATGACTAGTACCATTGAGAGACTAAATAATTTTTCGATGTCGTTTTAAAGGATTTTGTTACGATAATATTACGTAATTATAAATTTGTTATTCGGCTGTGCCCTTATTGTAACTGCATTAGATTAAATTAGGATTTACCAAATGAGGTTAGGTTGACCAAATGTTAAACCTTATTAATTACATATAACTCATGCATGACATACTTGTATTTTACAGTGTGTTATTAGTTATTTACACGTATCGCGTATGTGCATCAAATAGGCCTAATTTGTCAATATGTGGCCATCTTGTGAAGTGTCAACCTATCATGTTCTGTTGCCCGAATTTTATAAACATGTTCTAATGTACAAACTTTAAAATACATTAACAAATACAAGACGTTTGTTTATTATTATGTTTTGACTTTGATTACTTAACACAAAGATTTGTTTTCTAACGCATCAATAATTTGTCTTTAATCTTACTTTGAATTGTATTGTTACTTCAATAGCATTTAAATGTGCTCAAAATGATCAAAGTACATTCTGATATTAATAGTTTTCAATTTAGGAACACAAATTTTACAATTATTTGAATATGTCATATGATACAAATTTGTTTTTGTCTATGCCATTTAAAGGGATAGGTGCGATATAAAATATTGTCAACTAACCTGCGAGGGGGGCGCGTATGAGTAACCAAATTGCGCGTACGCTGCCATAGGGACGATCATATGGGCGGCTTCACACAATACACTGTCTATCCAGGTCTATATATTATATCACGGACGTATTCGTTTCTTACTAATATGTCTACTACTATTAATTATATCTAGTATCACAGGTTGTTGCGTTCGCGACGGCTGCGCGTCGCGCTGCCATTCCTGCGCGCGCTTCGCATGTCGACCCTCGTGCTAGTCAGCGACCGGCCTGTACCTTCTTCACGCTTCCGAGGTTCAACACCGACTGGCGCGCGCTCGACAACCAAAGCCCCTCCAACCTAGGGGACGTACCGTTAGACCGCGCCTGCCGGGCGGAGCGAGTCCTTCTCCGCCAATAACAACTACAATTCTCCGTCCCTTTCGATAATGTAACGGTAGGTATTGGGAGTCGCGTTCCCCTCCATTTGTCTAGTAACGCCCGCGACATCGTCGACGCCCACGTCCGGGTGGGGCGGAGGAAAAAAGCGGCACAGTCGGGCAGACTTGATCATGTTTATGGGTTTCCGTCGAGACAGTCGGCCAGCCCTGTGCCGCGACCAAACAAATCTCTAGTGGCAAAAAAATGCCTCGAACGAGGACAAGTTGTTTCACCTCGTCAGATTTACGAACAACAAGTCCCGAGTATACCTTATAAACAACGACATCTCCGATCGACGCTGTTTTAACCATTTTGCACTTAATACATTACGCGCTATGCGCCATAGTTACGGGCCATCGTTCAATGATTATAAAGGTATTTTCTAATAAAAAAATAAAAACAATTGCAAATATTTAAAAATTACCATGACCAGAATTAGGTGAGTTTAGAAATTAAAATTAAACAGGATTTTTTTTTATGTAATTTGAAATTTAAAGTTATTTTTACTTAAAGTGAATTTGAAAATTGAATTATTAGAATTTCTGTAATGTAAATTAACATTTGATTTTACGTTCAATCCTATCGGCTTAATCAATAAAAGATAAGCTCAATCGAGTCGCGTTTGAACCAAAATCACAATAATTTATCAAACCAATTGTATAGTACGCAGTTTATCGTACCGGGTTCATGAAACCTGTACCTACATGTGTCAGGCGTATGATGGAAAAGCGGAAAGATGCGGAACCATTGTTTCACACGGTTTCGCGAATGATCAGATAGGTGGCGCCGCGATCAATAAAATTTTAAAAGCCTCCTTTTCCATCTTCTGCGAATCAGTTGTTTGATTACTCGTTTTCTTTATAAACATTATTGTAGGTATATTTTAATGAGTGGACGTCTGTACGCTGAGAAATAGAGATTTTAATGAGTATTAATAAATTTTGAAAATGCCATTTTGACAAATAGAGATTGAAGTCTTCTGTTGTTTATTGATGTTTTACTGTAACATTCTATTCTATGATACAATGCTATTGTCCAAGCGGAACGTATAAATAATTATGTAGTGTCCATTAGTAGGTATGCAATATTCCTAATAAATTGCTTTAAATACGATATACCAATTTGAAGGATTTAAGTAAAATAGGTGAGGTTATTTGACATTACGTTGAAGCTTATGACTGAAGCCTATATTTAATAATGGTAACGAAACAATAATATATTTCAATACTCTTTATTTGGAACGAAAATAAAAAAAAACTTCTCGTCCTTGCTAAACAATGGAAATGTACTGTACTTTTGCTAAAACTGCAAACTAAACGTTAGTCTAATGTTAATTATGGTAGGGTTTTGTTTGTAAGCTTTTCCTATTGGCTTATTAAATGCACAACGGGCTGTTAAGGCAGCTAATATCTTTGTGAAACAATTTATTTGTAGGTTACTTCGTTTTGTATTATAAAAACAGCCATTAGTTCTGCGGTTATTATTACGTGTGTAAGTTTTTTTAGACAATCACAAAGTTGTAAGTATATGATAAAACCGAAATTAAAGTCATATGACTTTACTATTAAAGGGCAAATGAGAATAAAAATATCGTGTTTCACAAATTTGATGTCTTGATTGCAATATGATCATTCTAATTTAAATTAGTTTGTTTTATCATTTTCATTGTAATCGTATTTTTTTGTTCGAATTAAAAAAATGTCGTAATCGATAGATAGGTGGAATGTAGATAAACCTGCTATTGTTTAAATCGTGAAAATGTTTTTTTCTTTTCCTTACATATTCGCTGGTACCCAACGATATGTAAAATTTTCCAGTTGAGAAAGTGACGTGTTTTCAATATGTTTTTTTTTTATTGCTTAGATGGGTGGGTGGACGAGCTCACAGCCCACCTGGTGTTAAGTGGTTACTGGAGCCCATAGACATCTACAACGTAAATGCGCCACCCACCTTGAGATATAAGTTCTAAGGTCTCAGTATAGTTACAACGGCTACCCCACCCTTCAAACCGAAACGCATTACTGCTTCACGGCAGAAATAGGCAGGGCGGTGGTACCTACCCGTGCGGACTCACAATAGGTCCTACCACCAGTAAAATCATCTAACAGAAAAAAAATCCTTATGACAAAATGCGCACGTCAAAAAAAAAAGCAATTTTAAAAATTTTAAAATACCACTCGATAATTTTTGAAGTCGCTCGTAAAGAATTAGTAATACCAAATGTAACCAGAGTACCTACTTTATAGATTATCGCAATGAGCGTATTGTGCGTATTGAAGGCTTATTTTGAGCTCTCACGTGTAGGAGGCATCATCCTGCAAATATTTCTGTAGGTACATACCTACAGCTGTCTTGTGTTACGTTTTGAAGTGTACGATAACCGTTTGACAACACGAGGTCACGTCTTAGGACAAGTTATTATATGAGCAACGGGAAAATCATTATGAATTATACGACCTCTCCCTTTATCCTATAAGAACGATCAGTAGAATCGGTTTCCGTTCAACATTAGGCCATCGGATAATCGTTTGAATACAACGGGCGCACTGCCAATTAAACCAAAGACGAAGCGTTCAAATGTGAAATGTAATATGTGCTACATATAACGATATTACATAAAATAGGAACGACTGTAACTATAATATCGTTAGGCAAATTACGGTTAGTTAACTTTTATACAAACGATAATTATCTAATTAACCAACAAAATAAATTGTTCTGTTTGTTGTTCGTATTCAAATAATTATTATATAAAATAACGTCAATGGAACCCTAAAAACCAACAAATTAGAAGTTCAACGAACCGAGAATTAATTAAGTAGACACAAAATTTGAACTTCGCTAAAACTTTCAAGTAACATAATATGATGAACCCTTTCGGTCTTCGATCTCAAATCGAACATATTAAAATAGATTTTGTCGATCGAAATCTGATCTGTTGGTCGCAGCTATAGTTGTATATCATTTAATTACCTGCTTATTACGTAAGTTATAGAATTAGGGCGTATTCTGAGCTCAAGGCACGGTCTTACAACCCTGTGCTTTTTCTGCCGCGAAACAGCCACGGATTCCGGTTTGTTAGGTGGTACAACAACCATTACGGTAATAAAATATAATTCAGAGACATATTTCAAGGTGAATTGTGGGTTTGTCGTCTGTGTTTATATTGGCTACGGCACCATGAAACGCTATAGCCAGATTTACACTGCATAACATATGCATATTGAAATAAGTAAACTTTCCCGTGCGGGTACCACATGCCGGTCAAAATAAAAGCACACACGACCTTCACTTAAAGCTGTAATTACGTGCTCAACATTTTATAATTTAATTAAGTAACGAACAAATATGTATAAAAGTCATGGACCGTAATGTGTAATACAAATTAAATATGGCCACAAAGTTGATTTAATATTAGTAACAAAATTTATTTAGAAAAATAATTTAAAAATTATCTATACATATATAAAAATGAATTGCTATTCGTTAGTCTCGCTAAAACTCGAGAACGGCTGGAGCGATTTAGCTGATTTTGGTCTTGAATTATTCGTAGAAGTCCAGAAAAGGTTTAAAAGGTAGATAAATGAATGAAAATGCTCGAAGTTAAATAAATATAACAATTTTGTTTTTCCTTTGATATGTCCCCCTCGGACGGATTCCTTTTGTTTGTTTTAAGTTTATTTTATACAAAAGTTTAGGTCTTTTATTTATCGATTAAGCACTATGAAGTCTGCCGCGTCAGCTAGTAAATTTATAAATAATTGAGGTTTATGAAGAGATCTGGTATTGGGCGAGTTTAACGATTAGAGTAATTTTTGCTAATGTAGAGCTTTACACTTTTATTTATTATTTGAATTTTCGTCAATTCTTATCACACGTCCGTGCATTTCAAAAAAGTATCCTTCTTCTTTACGATTCATTTGGGCGAACGAGATTACCATCCGCTTTGAGACATGAAGTCGAAAATTTAATTATATAAAAACTATCCGACACTTGAAACCGGTAAGCATGATTGCTTCACAGTAAAATATGCAGAAAGACGATATAGTGGGCAAATTAAAAACAAACCGTTTTCTTTAGGTGCCGTCTGATTTTTGTTATATGTTATAACAATGTATACTCTCATTGTGAAAGTCGTTCGTAAACACGTGTTAAGCATGTACTTCATTAGAAAATAGAGTGCATGCTTACGGGATTTAAGTGCAAGAATAGTCGCATCGCTTAACACGGTTATACCGGGCGTTTTTCTGGACTACAACGAATTTCGACCAACATGTCAACAACACCTGTTGAATGGAAAAATACTAAACGTTAATGGTGCTAGTTAGAGTGACAGTTTCGCAAAGCAAAGTGAGAGATTATGTCTTTCCTTGAACATTAAATTGCTTTTTTAATATCAATAATAGTCAGCTTCGAAAACATAAAGAAAAAATCGTATTAATATACTTAGGTATGGTAAAACGATTTTCTGTAGCATGCTTAAGATTCATAATTGTTGTTCTGTTCAAATGGTACTGTGTGAAGGGAAGCCTCAACAACCTCATGACGTCAGCAGTACCTCAAAAGGTTGCGGGCGGTATCAAGACGGAGAGACAATGAACTTAAGAAATGTAAGGTGTTTTTCCGACGACGGTTTAGTTAAAGTTAATTTTGAGTGTACTTTAGTAATGAATACATCTGTATATAACTAAATACATACATACCTAGTGTGTTTTATTTATAATGTAGGTACGTTATTACGGAAGTGTATGATAATACTATTAAGAATTTTATTTTTTAGTGAACGATTTTTTACTGGAACTTTGACTTAATTGTAATGATGTAAATGATTTACAAGAGAAATTTGTTTTGTCATATTCAATGACTATTAT